CGGTTATCAGTAGTCAGTTTACACCCCGCCGCTTTCACTAGACGGGAACTAGAAGTACATTTAGTGCAGAGCTAGTGATGGAAAGCAACGCTCACTTTCTTTTTACCGTGAAGCCAAAAAACACCGGATCGGTTTTTTGGAAAACAAAATCCACAGTCCTCTTTTTTGGAAATTTCCGGACAATTTATTGAAAAACAAGAATGTAAAATGTAACGTCAAAACAGCAAAAAAACAGCAAAACTCAAAATTTTGGAAAGGCAGTAAAACCCTGAGTCCTACCTTTGGTTTTCCAGTGTAAAAGTACAAGAGATTTTTTTTAAAAGGTTTGATAAATTATGCTTCTTATCTGTTTGAATTTCAAAATTTCCAATCAATTGTTTGGAAATTTCCAAAAAAATTAAAAATGCAGTGTGAGGTTTACCCGCTTCTCTTCTACAGCTCTCAGCTCCTGGTCACGGGCCTCTCCATCTCGAAGTATGATGAACCGCGCGACCACGCAGCCCCCCCTTCCTCCTATCCCCACTCCTCTACAAGTTCAAGGTCGGACGGTCCGCACGGCGGGGGAGGTGAGTGCTCCCAACGGAGGTGCGGCAGATAAATAAGTAATAAATAAACAAGGGAAAAAAATGCAACACGATCGACGGCGCCTCCTAGGGGATCACGTCCGAGCAGCACCCCCCAACAGCCGGGCTGCTGACCACCGCCACGCCCCGCCACGCCACGTACCGCCACACCCCGCCCCACCCAGCACGTACTCGACACACATATGCATGCAGGCAGAATTGCTAAACCCCTGCAGGTGACGTGGAGCGCGCATAGCAGCGGGGGGAGGTCGTGGGTGAAAATTATTAAATTATGTGCCACTGCTGCTTGGCAAGGCTACGCGGTGGCTGCCGTCGCCACTTCGGGAGCAGCCGCGAGAAGCGCCCACTTCACTTCGGCCGCCACTTCGCCCCGCGGCTCCACTTCACCTGCCACGATTAGCCATGCATGATATTCAAACACACCGCCACCCGCCGTTTCCCTTCTCTCTCTCTCAGTCTCATTTTTTTTTCGCGTGTCGATATTTTACAAATACTACTAGCCAGGACCTTCGGTCCTTATGCTGATCTCGCCTCTCTCTCTCCCTATATATATGCCTAACGATAGGCAATAGCGATGATAGGTTAAGCAATATATCATAGTTTTTGCAATTGCTACTGCTAGTAACTTTTAGTCTATTGCTATAAGCTATTCCGTAGCGGTGACCGGAATTGGCCCAGAAAAGTCTGCTCTAGAGCTTCGCTCGCT